AGTGCAGTGAAGAGAGAACGTGGGAGGTGAGTATGAGGGTAGATAACCGAAATTTGGGTTTCAGGGCCGGTATCTGAAATGAAAAATGGGCCTTTTGGAGCCTGCCTGTTCGCAATGTAGTGTAGTCATGGGTTTTGTTTGCAGAATTTGGCCCTTTAACAATTTATTGTTGGGCTTTAAAGAGTGCTCAAGTTGGATAAAGTAATTTAGTGGGTTTAATTTTTTAATTCTCCAAGGATTTAGGACGGAGACATGGGATTCAGTTGTTAGTGGGTGACTTTTAACTCAAAAGATTGGCAACATGTTTAAGATCCTTATTTTCCTTCAATTAGGTTTTTCAACAGTTTTTAAGGTTTGATTAATGACAATTTAATAGCGTCCAAAAAAATTGACAATTTAACTATTATACTAAGTGTAAATTTGTATCAAGAGTATTATGAATTTTCTAAAAAAATCCTAATACAAATATAATAAATTTAATTAAATCATTTTCATTAATATATAACTCAAAATTGAGTTTTCACTTAATCGAAACAGAAAGTTTAACAAACACCTTACACAAAATTTTTTCGAAATATTGATAGAAAAAATAATATAATATTATAAGTATGGGTGTGGACTCAAAATCAAAATTTAAATTTCTTAATTTTGTACAAGTGATATAGAGCTCGTTAATGTCATAGTTGAGAACCTTAATGGAGGTGTCCTTTTCTTTTGGTCGGCTTCCATGGGTTGTCCCAAACGTCAGCATTTTTTAACTTATTCTTAGATCGGACTCCAAATCACATTTCAAATTTATTGAATAGTAATGAGTGATGTAATTTGCACGACTTTGCAAACCGTCCATGTCTAAATCTATCAAGCTCGCCTTCCCAGGTCCCACCCAAGGTAGCGACAGAGGAGTTTTTTTCTTCTTGGAATAGTTACCTGGAATGCTGGAAGAAATAGTGGTGCAGGTATGGTTGTGTAATCAAGTCGAAAATCATACTCTGTCCTCCACTTGATTAATTATAAAAATGTCAGTGTCTATTTTATAATATAAAAATTTTAATATTTTAATTTTTGATCTAAATAAAAAATTTTAATAAAAAGTAATAAATTTAATTAGATCATTTTTATTAATATAAGACTCAAAATTAAATTTTTACTTAATCAAAATAAAAAGTGTAATGTATACACTGCACAATTTTTCTGAAAATTGGCAAAAGAAATAATTATAATATTATAATTATGGGTGTGAACTCGAAATCAAATTTCAAATTCCTTAATTTCATACAAGTGGTACAGAGCTTGCGAAGGTCATAATTCAAAATTTAAATGGGTGTCCTTTTCTTTTGGGCCAGCTTCTATGAGGTGGTTGAAATGTCTACATCGTTTAATTTATCCTTAGATCAGACTCCAAATTACATTTCAAATTTATTGAATGGCAATGAATGACGCAACTTGCACGACTTTGCAAACGTAGTCAAATATATTTATGTCTAAATCTATTAGCCACCCTTTCCAAGTCCCACCCAAGGCAGCAACAGGTGAGTTTTGTTTTTTTTGGAATAGCAACCTAGAATGCTCGAAGAAATAATAGTGCAGATATGGGCGTGGAATCGAAATCAAATTCCAAATTTCTCAAGTCCATACGATTGATGCAGACCTTGTTATGCTCGTCTCAGCACGTATTG